ACCAAAAAAAAGAAAAAAGAAATTCAGCGATTAAACTCAGGAAAGGATACCAAAAAAAAGAAAAAAGAAATTCAGCGATTAAACTCAGGAAAGGATACCAAAAAAAAGAAAAAAGAAATTCAGCGATTAAACTCAGGAAAGGATACCAAAAAAAAGAAAAAAGAAATTCAGCGATTAAACTCAGGAAAGGATACCAAAAAAAAGAAAAAAGAAATTCAGCGATTAAACTCAGGAAAGGATACCAAAAAAAAGAAAAAAGAAATTCAGCGATTAAACTCAGGAAAGGATACCAAAAAAAAGAAAAAAGAAATTCAGCGATTAAACTCAGGAAAGGATACCAAAAAAAAGAAAAAAGAAATTCAGCGATTAAACTCAGGAAAGGATACCAAAAAAAAGAAAAAAGAAATTCAGCGATTAAACTCAGGAAAGGATACCAAAAAAAAAGAAAAAAGAAATTCAGCGATTAACCTCAGGAAAGGCTACCAATTAAAACGAGTTTTTATTCCCTGAAATGTTTAGCCTTGACTTCCCCTCGCGATTTCGATACAATTTCCTGAAAACAGGTTTTGTGAACAGACAATCTTATCCGTGAGTTTTAACGCCAAATTCTTTGTCAAATTTACAAGGTAACGTAAGGCAGTCAAAACAGACACGTGCCAATCGAAGATTTGGAGTTGAAGGGTTTATAAAACTCTGTCAGTCGAAGTGCTCACACGTCAGTGTTCCATTCTACAAGCTTCAATAGATACTTTTCACCAGTCTCATAGAAAAAAGCAAGATTGGTTAACTCAGCAGAATTTGGCCACTTCTGGCAAGAATTCAGAATTCAAGTGAAGTTCTCGAGTGTTAAGTGCGTACATAATTGAAACCACGAAAAGGCGATAGGATGAAAAACGCCCCAGCCATTCATCTCGTACCTTCCTGGCTTTAAGATGTGGGGGTCAACAACGAATATTTCCGTCCTTTTGGCGTGCGGAAAAATCAAACAAAACACAACTAAGTTTTAAACGCAAGGTCTGCTCGTCATTAACAATTCAAAGACTCTTTTAATTTTCTTCACATTTCAACTATTCGAACTCTTCGAAAAGGTTAGTAGAGCATTGCTGTACAGGAACGTACCCCGTAAAGGAACGTAAAATGACAAAATAATCGGTACGTTGAGACACTTTAACTATCTTAAATCTTGGGTTAGCCGTCTACACTCTTATAGAGAAACAATGTTCCAGTCCACTCATATTTTATAAAATGTGCTCTTTAAGGAAGAACATTTCTCATAAGCAACCTAACAACAATATTCTGTTATATAGCACGCCTTATCTGAAAACATAATGCCTTCCATACCCAAAAATCGTTATCCGAAATTGCAACCACCCCATAAGCTGACCGATGAGAAGGCATTAAAAGCAAGCTGAAAATTGAGTGCATCACCAAGGATTGATGATGTCTTGAAAACTGCTCTGGAAAGAAAAACCGTTTCTCTAACAAATAGAATTGTCCTTCAAAACTTTAGAGCGCTGAGTGTCATATCTAGACTACAATGATCGGCCAAAAATGTTCGCACACAATCTTTTCCTTTCTTAGTTCTAGAAGCCAAACAAGATAAGTTAAGAACTACTATAACGTTGTTACACAAACAAGCAACAAATTTTACAAGAAATTGTGATTTGTTGTTTGTTTTCCTTCCTTTGTCAAGTCGAGAGTTTCCATCGTTACATTAAAAAAGACACTTGGCAAACACTGAGACGAAACACATAATATCTTCCTTCAGTGCTTATCTGCCACAAACCAATCAACGAAATAAATAAATAAATATTCCTCTGGCGAGCTCTCTTTAATTGATCGAAACTAGGCTCTTTTAATCACGATTTGATTCGAAGACAAAAGAAAAACGATGAATTCCCTCTGTAAGGCTGCCTTTGTAGACAATGAAACGACTTTCTACCTAGAAAACGTACACTAAGATATACAACAAATCGAGCATCAGCGAAAAATTATCTAAAACTGCTCCTCTTAGAAAGCTAAATGCGCCTATACAAATCTGCCTAGAACCTAGCTTTTGACTTCCCGCGTCAAAATAGGTCAGCTGTGCTCAATAAATTTGACATGCTCGGCTCAATCTGTGGGTGTTATGGCAGGAAGTGCCACTTTTTCTTGATTGGCTGGCTTGTCAATGAAGAAAAGTGTCGAGTAAATGTCTTTTTAAAGAAGTTATCATACGTCTAACCAAGATACGAGACCAAAATGTACATTCCTCTATGGAAAAGAAACAATTAGACGTAACACTAAAACAATTCAACTGAAATCTATTCCCCCGAAGATCCTTGTGCAGGGTCGCATTGGAGTAGGCGCACGATCGACGGATCGCTTTTGGCCCCTTCGATGAACTCGGCTAGAGAAAGCTTTCCATCCAAATTTTTATCCATTTGCTTAAAAATCTTATCAGTCCGTTTCTCTGGCGTGCTCTCGTCTTCAGGCATTTTCATTACGGAGCCCACCATCTTGTAGATGGCCTTGACGATTTCCAGCATCTCTTGTCGGGAGATAAAACCATTACCATCCAAATCATACATGCTAAAAGCCCACTTAAGCTTCTGCTCGAGTTTACCGCGCGATGTCACGGACAAGGCGCAGATGAATTCACGGAAGTCGATAGTGCCGTCGCCATTGCTATCGAACGTCCGGAACACGTGCTCTGCGAACTTGGATGCGTCACCGTACGGGAAGAAGTTACCATAGATTTTCTTGAACTCTTCCACAGAGAGATAACCGCTCGGGCAATCCTTGAGGAATCCCTTGTACCATTCATGTAGCTCGTGCTCGTTAAACTCAGTGTTCTCTTTCAGATCCGCCAATACCTCGGGCTTGAGTTTGCTGTTTTGTTTGCCCATTGTTCACGCGCGAAACCTATAAAAGGGTGGAGGGCAACTGAGTTAAACCAGTACATCATCAAATGTGAGACAATGAAGAGAGTAGTGCAGGTGAAGAGGCGAATCCCACGCGTCTTGGATTGCTGGCGCACGTCAGCGGTGAGTTGAGTTAGTACGAGAGCAGATGAAGTTGACGGCGTCAGTGATTATGGTCAGACTCTGAAGTGAGTATAGAAGTGTTTGTTAACCGTGCATCCAGCAGTGACATCCGACCTTTTAACTTAGTAGGAAGGTTAGTTTGACCACGATTACAGCCGTTGTTAACTGTTAATGACACTGTTACTTGTTTTTTCTTTTGTGTTCTGTATATTTCACTCCCATGAACAGAGGCACAGAGTTGTTTGAAGGGGCAGTTCTTACATCATCAGAGTCAAAGCCACTGAACTTGGAAACTAAATTGCAACTGAAGCTGAATCTTTCCCTATCATAGCTCGTCGAGTATGCCAAATCACTGAGCACTGGTTAGCAAAAGAACAAAAAACTCAAGTCTAAAGAACCTGAGATGTCTTATCCGCTCCTTTGCCGTCGTTTAACTTAAACTTGACAATAAAAATATTGCTGAGGAAACCGTGGTGTGAAGCCATTCAAATGACGAGTTCAATCAAATGTTCGACAAAAAAAAAAGGAAAGAAACCTTAACGACCCAGTTAATTTGACTCGTAACAGTGACTGGCATCTCATTTCTCTTTGCAATATCACCCCTGATAAAACATTATGGTCATGAGAATAAAGGAAATGATCACCAACGAAAGAAGCTCTTGATTGTTGAACAAATTTTCCTTGTCAGCACTTTGGGAAAGGTATAGAGAACAGTAAAGAGAATATGTACACTGATGTTATGGCGTGTCGTGCAACACTGAATGGAAATTACAACTCCTGGATTATCAAATCTTTTGCAACCTTTGTACTTGGTCTCCCAAATTGCGGGAGATTAGGAAAAATTTACAGCTGGAAAGTTAATCCATTAAAAGTTGGTAGGATTCTGTGCCTTTGCTTGTGCAAGGATTGAAGGTGGAATCACACCATGGAAAATAGTGAAGAATCATTTACATATAACAAATGAATGTCTGAAGTGCTGAAGAAAGTGCACAACAATAAATAAGGAAGTGTTTCAATGCATGTTTACAATATAAATACTGGTAGTCAAGGATTACCAAAAATATGTAGATATTTAAGAGCTGACTTTGAAGCTTGTGTTCAAAGTAAGTTAACAGTACAAATAAATTTTTGTTTTCACCCCTTATGGCATCAAAACAAAAGAGGTCAGTCCTGAAATAAATATAACGGTACAGCTAAAAAAAAAAAAAAAACAACATATTAGTTTACCACTGATGCAGTAGCTCCTGGCAACAAGCAAAAACAAATTACAGATTTGTGTCAGTAGTACTTTATTTCATAAATCCACATATACAAGCTACACAGAAGGGGGCAAAAACAAAATTTCAACAATTTTCTGAAGCTCAAAAAGTATTTTGTGAGTGGAGCTGCCTTCTTTCTTAGTATTTAACACGCCAAATGTTAAGTATGCTTGTCTAAGTTTGCTCACATCTAGACTTCAATATACAACATTATTTACCAAAGTGCACCATGGGAGCATGAAAATAAGTGATATTATTTAGATACAGACATCAAATAAATATCAAATTTCAAAAGTCAATGTCAAACAGAATTCATGTCTATCTTCCCTCTATAAAAAGCTGTGAAGATATTAATCAAATACAATTTCTCTTTAGAATTATGTACACTTGTAACTCAAATATCAATATTATCAATGGAACCACTTCACTTCTGAATAGTTATTTAACAGCTGCTGTCTTAAGAAGCCATGATTAAAAGAAGAAAACTAGCTGGCAAGATACGTGTATTCTACACTGAAGTGGGATCTAGCATAAATTTGAGTTGCATTTTTCATTTAGCATATTTTTGTATTCACCATATTTTTGTATTCACCCTATGGATGGTTGAGGTGTGGCAGTTGTAGCATCACACTGCAGAAGACGCACAATGGATGGGTCATTCTTGGCCCCAGCAATGAACTCTTCAAGAGAAAGCTTCCCATCACTGTTTGTATCCATTTGATTAAAAATCTTATCAGTACGTTTCTCTGGTGTACTTTCGTCATCTGGCATTTTCATAACAGTGCCTACCATCTTGTAAATAGCCTTGACTATTTCCAGCATTTCTTCCCTAGATATGTAACCATTGCCATCCATGTCATACATGCTAAAAGCCCATTTTAATTTGTCATCCAGCTTTCCCCGAGATGTCACTGACAGTGCAACCATGAATTCACGGAAATCAATATTGCCATCATCATTCTTGTCAAACGTACGAAACACATGCTCAGCAAACCTAGATGCATCTCCATAAGGGAAGAAATTGCCATAGATTTTCTTGAACTCCTCTACAGTGAGATGTCCAGTGGGGCAGTCCTTCAAAAAGCCCTTGTACCACTCTTTGAGTTCCCCTTCAGAGAACTCTGTTTCTTCTTTTAAGTCAGCTAGCACTTCTGGTTTAAGCTTACTGTTCTGTTTGCCCATTATTTACTCTAAAGGCACAGAAATAAATAAGTGTTAGCCTTAAAAATTAAGAAACTACAATTGTAAAACTTTCTTTGAATTTTAGGTCTCAGCAATTAGAACAAATCATTATTAATAATCATTTTTGTCTCAGTGTAAAAACCACAGACACTTTAATGTGATACTGATAGGTGTTTTTTATGTGTATTGATCAATCACAAGGAAATTTAGAACATTCAAGTAAACCTAGAAAACCACGAACTGATTATCATTGCTGATTGCAGTTTCATTATTTTATGTCTGATTGGATTTCTTCTTTAAACACAATAACATTATTTCAAATTTATTGAGTTCAAGGCTGTCTGTATTTCAGGGCAAAGCCATACCTGAGAATTTAAACTTTAGAGCAATAATTTCTTATTTGTCTCACAATGTACTTAGTTCTGATGCATATTATAATCTTCTAACTGCAGACTACTGCCAGTCCTCTCCAGGTGCTAAGTTCAACTAGTTGTGCATCACTTAAGGCAACAAACTTCTTTGTGATCCACCTTAGAAGTGGCTACATTGTCAGACAAATGACAATACACAAGCATCATTATTCTTTACCTTGATAAGAGACCACAACCTTTTTAGTACATTTATACCAACATCGTGCCCAGAAAATTAGTTCAGCCTTCTACACATACATTTTAGGACATCTCAAACTTTTGAATCAATCAGTATTCATAATTCAGAAGGCCACACAGCAAATTGTTTTGTAGCACTGTCAAACAATTTCAGTGTAAATGATTCCAAAAATTGATAACAATGTTTATGAGGGTATAATTTGAAAACAAGAAGTTCTATCCAGATTAATAATTTAAGCCAATGGACACAATTCCTTATTTAGCAGGTAGACAGCTTAGGAAAATCAAAACATAAAATGATTTTTAAAAAAGAGGATTATAACATCAACAGTTATAGCTGTATATAAAACAAAAACATCCATTTGTCTTTAAATAGAAGACTATTTCATTGAGCTCTTTTCAAAGTCTCTCTCAATCTAAAAATTTAAAGATTAAAGTAGTACTCTGATATCACGAGCACAATCATTGTTTTGCATATTTTTGAAAAATTAGTTACTTGAGCAAAAAATCAGGGAAATTACTGGATAAATCTTCTTGCTATAAATTTCATGATGGAAGACCCTCGCCAACTAAAAGAGTAATTTATGGAAAAAATTTAAGTGCCATACAGCAAGGGATTAGGAAAATAATTTTTATTTAGGGGGATAAATGCACCATTGTCTGTCACTGCCATTGCCAGTTAGCAATTAGACAGTAGTATTTATGACCTGTTCAAGTATAAACTAGAACATTAAAAAATATTTTTTTCATTAAATCTTATAAATTATGACCATAAATGTCATCAGTTGATTTTATATTGCAACTATAAAGGTGATAGAGTCTTATTATTTATCTATACCTTATTAAACTCCTCAATTGAAACATAATTTAAAATGGATGTATATTGGATCCATAATAACAGTCATTGAATAATTCTGTCTTACATTAGGATGGCAAAAGAACATCATGCAAAACTTTGGGAACTTGATTTAATATAGCCCTGAGGTAACTCTGCAACATTTTTAGAACAAATATTTTTTAACTCCTAGTATGAATTTACATTTAGCAACTCATTTTTTTTTAAATCACATCAGGATTACAAATTTAGATTCATGATGACAGCCCATACTGATATACTGGGTCATCTTTTCTGGATGTCATTGCCACAAATACATGTTATAATTAATCTAGTTGGCATATTCGTTATAAAGTGCTCTACTTTACTAAGTTAAATTTCTTGTTCCCTTGATCAACCCCAACTTTTCTCCTCAAGTGCTTCTTATGATGTACGAGAACCATCTCCAAAAGCAACAAATGTTCAAACAAATTGAAAAATAGTGCATGCAATTATGGTCACCGGTTAAAAAAAATGTGTAAGATAAAGATGCAAATAAAAGAAAAATAAATGCAAACAAATGAATGTGTAGTACATACCATAAACTGTCAAGTGGAGTGTTACAACAATTGCTCCAGAGTAAAGTCCAAGTGCTCCAAATGAGGTCTCAGTATACTCCAATAGATATTGCCGTCATGTGCTGATAAGTACTCTGTCAATTGTACACTTTCTAACACCCTCAAACAAATAGCCTCCACAAAAAACAATGCGCGAAAAGATTGCCGCATTGAAGGAGTTGGTAGGTAAAATTGTAACATTTATTCACGCATATCATTGTGATGGTCATGGTTGTAAAATGGAAGTTGCAAGTTGTGATTAAATCAAAATCAAATCAAAGAAAAGGAACCAAAACAAACAAAAGTATGATGATAGAGTGCTAATAAGACATGCACTTCACAAGTTTTGTAATACCAGTTGATCATGCAAGTAACTGCAAAGTTCCCTTCACTTGAGCCTGAATCATTTTATGACCAATCCAGAAATGTTGCTTTTCCAACATGTTTCCATCAAATGCACTGGAATACTGTGGCAACTGAAAAGCTCCAAATTGGACAAGATGGATGTCTTATGAAAACACACTATATATATAGAGAATAGCCTGGAAACAACAGAGAACATTCTGAAAACACTTTTTGGTCACTATTGACAGCAAAATTAAAGCATTTAGCAAGCAATAACCTCTAAAGGCTAACTTGAATGAAAAAAATACAGAGAAAATAGCTGACCCTCATTTCTGCTTTCCAAGAGTTTTGACTTTTAGAGGAGAATTATGTTATTACCTCAAAGACTACCATTCATTGAAGAGTACCGGTAGCCTTACAAGTCAGATTTGACTACGCCAAATGGAAATAAAAGGATTCTTTTCTCTAAACACCTTCAAATAACATTCATCATCAGACCTGCCATTAACCATGAAGCACTGCTAAGCTTTCACTCATAAACAAGAAAAACAACAAGCCTGGTGAGGTGGGGTATATGCAAAATCTGACAATAATTGTTTTCGTAGTAATCATATAATCATTTTTTTTCTGCATTTCTTGTATGTTGAAAGGAAAGAACCAGTCATGGACCAAGTTTTAGCTGGCCTTGATTAATCAAAATTGGTGGTTATCAGTTGATAACACAATAGGGACCTTAAGCAGTCAGGACGGCAACGCCAAGGAAGACGTCGATTAAAAAGTGAATTTCTACTTTAAATTAAAATTTTGAAAATGGCTGCATGTGTTTACTATCTCATACAGTGCCACAACTCAACCTTGACATAAAGTATAAAAGTAGCGTTGAGTTCCAAATGGCAATTAAAATAATTTGCCGTCCCAGTTTGGGTTCGCAGACGACGCAAATTTTGGTGATTTCACGTTGTTGTTTTGCAAAGGACAGCTAAGAAATGTACTAAGTTTTACAATGCACGTGCTGAACTATTGTTCTGCCAATTAGATCTTTTGTTTTACTCACGTCCTGGTTGCCGTCGCCGTTGTGGTTTGCTTAAGGTCCCTAATAATATAATCAACACTTTCCTCTGGGAATGTGAGAGAAAATTTCTTCAGAAATGCATGTCGCTAGTTCAGAGAAACTCGAAGAATTTGCATTGCCTTTATTAACTCTACATTGCAAAGTAATGTACCTTGCAAAATTTCCAGACAGGCAGTAGCCTAAAATTTGACCCTTTCTATATTAAAACTAACTTTCACCTAGATGAACTGCACTTTTGGTTCAGAGAACACCTACAAAGGAAGTCTCTGTAAAGTTATTCAAATGCTAATTTGAAATTGAAAACACTTAAGCCAGGCAATTTATTCCTCTTTAGAGACCCTGATCTTTTGACTTTCAAAATTAAGTTTCTCAATGATAATTAAGTGAGAGCAGAAACAATCACCGCTAGCATAAAGGACAAAGTGAGATGACAAAAGTAAAAACCTTTTTACTTTCTCCAAAAAGAAGTTCACCCTCACTTAGAATTACAAATAAACCTTGCTACATGTCAAACAAATTCAAGTCTCATTGTCATCTTTTGTTTAATCCAAAATAGACTAAACCTTCTAACCATTTTCAAACAACCAGGGATGCATTCACTCACAAGAGAATCTCAGAGAAAGCCACAATTTTAGGTGAAGCCACTCCAACAAAGGAAACAATTTTAGGGTACAAGGTTAATAAAAAATTAAGGCGTTACGCCTTTATGGCCATAATATCTGTTCACTACCATCCGTTATTCATGTCAGATATAAAAAGAATTATCAGTTCAAAGCAAAAGGAAAGACAGATTGAGAGCTCAATAACAAAACAATTAGGACCATCAACAGACACACAGAACCAAAAAGAGGTCAAGTTGAAACATCCTGCCATAAATTTCAACTGACAAAAAACCATGACAACTTTGGAATATAACACATAGCTTAAAATAATATTCTTTTGTGGTGAACCTATTTTCGTGGTCAGCAGGGAGGCAAAACCCATAAAATAAAGAAGATCATTTTCTTGAGCACGTTGAAAACCATACAGTATCAGAGTGATTTGTTAGTGCCCTTTGCTAACTTTCATCTCCAAGAAGTGCGGAAATCGCACATGATAGGAGCACGAGGGTCGAAGAAATATTACAGTAATAAATTATTCATATTGAAAATATCTTCCAAAACGCATAATACGTTATGTTAGGCATCGCATATGCAAAGCACCGCTAAAAAAATTACGGGAAGAATCCACATCTATTTAATGAAGAAATCTCTTGCCTTGGTATTTTACACAAACAATCTCTGAACGTTCCACTCGAACATATTATTTATGTTGCACAGATCTGACATCGAAATTTAGGCTAGTTTAGACGTTTGGCACCTGTAAGCGAGCAGGTTAGTAATTGAATAAAGCAATTTTTCGTTCCCTAATCCCTGATGGCGCTAAACGCAGTCTCCACACCTTTCCCGTTGAAACAGAGCTCTTTTCGATCAGTATTTTTAATAATTCATTAGACATGGTCTAAAAGATATAGCGTAGAAACAATACTTCGATCCAAAAGGTACCAAGATGTCCAAAATTGTCCTGGGAACGCACAAAGGGATTCATATGCGTTCGTACAATATGAGAGCACAATTTACCAGAAACTTCTCATCTTGTTGCCGCTAAGTGACTAAACCACAAATCCTCATACGATCTCAAAAGAAGATCGATTTTTCCGGAATGCGTACCCTGCCACTTTTTACTAGTCAACTCAAATTTAAACGGCAATCCCAATTGATATTCAAGCTATACCATTTACGGGTTTTATCGATCAAACTTGTGTATGAGAAGGAAAACCTTCCGTTTTGGATTTAATCGCACTACGTTTCCTGCTGGAGAACCGAACGCTCCGCATGTTTAAAACATTAAACATGTCAACAAACGTAAGGAGCGCCTCGCGAACCTCTTTGTCGCGTCATTCAAACAACTCATGGTTTTGTTAGCCCATTCTAGGTGATAGATATTTTATGCCCCTTCTTGCAAGCAATTGAACCGTGTAAAAAGGGCATAAACAACTCGAGAAGGGCGCTGTTTCTGGCTTGAATTGCCTTCGGAGATAGCAGGGAACAAGCGCTCAAGGACCCAAATCCTATCATCTCATCTCAAGCTAAACATCCAAAAGCGAATTTAGCCTCGACGATTTGCGGCGAAATTCCGCAATTAGTCGAGAAAAATCATACACGTTTGCTTCGCTGACTTCTACTCGCACGTTGAAGGCATTCAGGTCGGCTCGTAGGGAAATGGTGTGTGCAGGTGGCTATAGTGGCCAGAAATAGCTTGATTTATCAACAAACATTCGGTTTCGCGTCGAGAAAAATCGAGCAAGAATGCCCACTTTGTGCAAAGTAAGGTTCGTTTGAAATACTTCTCCTCTGAACAGTGGCAAATAAAACTGTTCTAAGTTATCTGCGAATAAAATAACCGAGAAATTACTCACCTAAGGAAAGCACCTTCTCCCAAACCGACTTTACGTACAGATTACAACCACAAACGGAGGGAAGACCGTGACTCTATGACGTCATAGAGAATTTGACGCATGCGTGTAAAACGGCAATCTCGCGCTAATTGGAAGAATCACGCGAAACTGGGCAATCAAGCGAAAAGGAATAAAATAATTTCGATCCTGTAATTAAGACATTTAAAAGCGAAGCATTCCCGTAAAACAGAAGGGAGTTTGTGATAGAAGGTGAAGAATTAAACTGTGTTTTAGGAATCATGAAATTGACAACTCCAAATGTTTAACTCATTCATAGATTTTGACAATCAACAATTAAGGGCGATCCAAAATATAAGTCGCCCTGGAAATTTTCCCGAAGGCATTCATTTCGATTAAAGCCACTCCTCTCCAAAACTAACTCCAGTTTCTATACAAGTTAATGAAAGATAGAGGCACGAACTAAGGTAGAATTTCCCTCAGCTTTGTGAATATTGGAGAGAATTCCGTCGACTTCTATTGTTGATACACGAATAGACGGACTCAATTTAATTTTTATTTCAGGTTTTTCAAAAGTATCATTGATAAGCGTTCATCTGGTTTTGTTTCAGTTTATAATTAAGGTAAGCTATAGATATAATAAAACACCAGCTACATGACTCCAAAAGTAATTTTTTTTTTTTAAGCAAGAACATTGATTTTTAAACTGTGCAGTGTTCGATCAAATTTGAAATGTAGATGAGTCGAAAATTTACAGCAAAAATTAAATTACCTTTTTCATCGGTTGTGTTTGTTAATTTTCAAAAGAAGGTGACCACTTCACTCAAACTCTGCGATTAAAACATGTTCGCTTTGTCTCCTCGTTTTCATCGTTCTAAGATTGAAAATGACCACCTGGCCAGCTCCACAAAGATAATCTCTGATGTGTTTTTTTCGTCAACAAAGAAAATATTGTTCTGCCTATAGGTCTGCCGTATTGAAATTTCTCGAAAACGGTAATAGAGGAAATTCATTTCTCAGATTGCAGCGTATTTTTCGTTTTCACATCGCCCGATCAGCGAAATAATACTCAAAGGAGGCCGCAGTATGAAAAGGAAACAATTTTTATGACAACTTGGCTATCAAGAGCAGTAGGGCATTGTCTGCAAGACACGTTCGTGCAACATTTGATGAACCCCGGGGGGAAATCTTTTCGTGCGCCCATGCGCCAGTGCGCCCACTCCTACCCGCCCAACAGCTAAAATATTGTATAGGTTAAATTCCTCGTGGCTATCACTGATTTAAAAAGCTTTCGACTAAGGACTAACAGATATGAACTTGATGGAGCAGAAACAAATCGGCATATAAGTGAAGACGGAGATATACACGTAAAGTATCTAAATACATTTTATCGTGAATTCATTTAATTTCTATTTTAACCATTATTAAATGCAAATTCACGAGCACTTTAAGTTATCTATGTATGGTGTCAAGTGTGCATTTGCGCCAATTTTTTCCGAGATTTTATCGAGAAAGGTGCTGAAGTAATTAATTCTGGAATTGAAGAGGCATTGTGTCTGATTAATGAAAACGTGTGTGTGTCAAACCTGGTACGTGGAAACTTCGACCAAACACTTGCAGCGACGAATATTTCCGGCAAGGCTTCCTCCTTAGACTAAAAAACGATTTCAAGGGAGGTCAGTATGAGATGCAAAGTTAATTAGAATCTGTTAATTAAAACGGAGAGTGTCATTTATTTGGAAAACAAACATATTTGGGAATTTTCTCAGTAAGCTAAGTGTTTTTAAAAGAAAAAAAAATATCCTACATTGTGAAAGAGTTTCTTGCAAGTTTCTCCCCCCTTAACTGAGCTGAATTTAGAGGCAATCAACGTGTTAGAATTAAATGTTTCAATTGTGAACAATAATCAGACTACGATCAATTTGAACCCTTTCCAAAACTTATTTCTTTTGAAAGTGTGTTTAGAACATTAAATGATGTTTGAATGACGTATAAAAGCTAAAAAGGAGTTTCCAGATGGATTGCTTTGATTTTCCCAATTGACGTCAGAGAAGAGTTCTCTAATCTGTTTTCACGTTCCTAGATGTCAGCAAATGTTTTTAAAACATTATGTCAACAAGTGGGGATCATTTCCTCAACCCATTTAATATGTTTTTTAATGAAAGACAGACGCGCACGTTATGCGATCCAGAATTACATAAATGATACTCTCGTTACGTCATTGTGAGCAAAATCCATCATCCAAATCGAGAGGCAGCACCCAAAATAGAAGCTAATAGAACAGAAGTTTTTAAAATAGAACGCGTACGTAACCCGTCTAAAAGCGGACGAAGCCCTTCAAAATCACTCAAAACAGTCTAAAATCAGGCAGAAAATTTTGACACTTGACGTAGAAAATCGAACAGGTTAGACAAAAGTCGGGGTAAGAGGGAACCGATCGACGTAAATCGAAGGAAAACTTCTCAACCCTTTTACTCCCACGAGTAACAAGTGACCAAGACATAATTTCTCCTAATTACATAAAAGTAGTATCAAGCAAACAAGTGATGAGAATAAAGAAAAATAACAAATAGAAGATTTTAGTTGATCCAATATTAAATTCTCAGAACTAACATCATAAAAGTTTGTATGGAAGACATCGAGGAGAATTACAGATGAGATCATGGAAGTGAAAGGGTTAACTAGAGGCAGCGTGGCCGAGTGGTCAGCGCGTCGGACTCGTAATCCGCTGCTCCCAGGTTCGAGTCCCGCTCTGACCACTATCTCGATTTGTTTCACGGTAGCTCCGAGTTCAAATCCTCGGCCATGCTTGTAAACTGCCAACTGGTTTGCCTCCGGCCAGTTAGGATTCTTAACAATTTATGTTCAATTTGAATTATTTATTTCTGTTGTTTATTGTTTATTGTGGGCCTCCTGGAAAGTAGCTTGTAGCTACTAGCTAAGTGTGGTGCCACATTAAAAATAAAACTTAACTTTACTTAACTGAGATAAAATCGTCTTATATGGGATAGCTTGTTCCCTTTTCAACCAATAATGAAACTGTCTCAAAATCTCCCTTTCGCAACATGCTTATTTTTAATGCCGAATTCTGAAAAGGTCGCAGACATATACCCCGCACTTGGCACACTTTCGACGTTTTCCCACCCTCAAGGCTGTTTTAATTTTTTCCGCATTTAGCTCATTGAGTCAAACGCGATTAAACTAATCCTAGGCCTAGATTAGAGTGGAATTTTAATTTTTAATACTTTGCTACTCTTCAATGAAGTCTTTCAAATACAACTTTAGTCCTTCCGATTCCACTTTGATTAAAGAAATATTCTAAATTGGACCATGGCAGGACACAATGTGCTACAGGTCATTAACTCTTGTTAACATAAAGCGGCTTTGAAAGAACCGTAATTGTTTTAAGGCTGTCTTTCGCTTCCGATTTAAAACAAACTGGCAATGGAAAATATTAACGGAAGCAGCACAATACCCGTCTTTGATATCAAAATAGCTTGTTCCAGGCCTTCAGTCAGAGGGGAAAATTTAGTCGCTCTGGCAGGCAAAAAAACAGGCGAAAAACAAACCGCGGTCTTAGTTGTCAGGGAAACGGGTGCGTAGACCCCTGCGTTCATCGCGCGCTTGCTTTTTCGCTCGTTTCCGCTGACCGTTGGACTGCCACCGGCTACTAAGAAATCAAGAAGTGGTTGAGAGCACTACTGAAATGATTGCGAGGGGAGAGGGGGGATACGCAATTCATCCAACTGTTAATCACCCAAAACAAATGAAAACATCGCTGGTTGGAGTTAATTCTCCCTGAGCTCTATAAAACTTGTTGCTCTAAGAACAATTACATATGATGCACGATCCTC